TTTACAGGGTTGTTAAAAACGAAATTATACACGGTCTGTGTCCTCCTTATCTATGATCAGCTATTAGTCTGTGATCTCATATGCAGCTTCGATTTCCGCGATATACATGACTGAGAAATCCTTGTCCGGATAATTTTCCTCAGCCACCTTAGCGTCCGTAAAGTTCTCCGGTGCCAGCTCCTGGCGGAAGAAGGTTTTGCACACAAGCACGTATTTTCCTTCTTCGAAAGTCGGCTGTCCGTCCACATGGGTGAGATGCAGTCCGGCATTCGTAATCTTATCCGGCTCGTCGGCTCCCGAATGGCTGCCCAGATACGTCAGGGGCTGTTTATATTTATCAAAATCGAAAAATGTCATCGTAAAGCGCCCGCTGGCATCCATGAATTTCTTGGTATAACGCTGCGGGCGGATATAAACCGTCGCCGTGCTCTTCCAGCAGAGATTGCCAAGACCGCCCCATGCTGCTGTCAGTGTATTTGCGACACCGCCGTCCTCGGCAGTTACCAGATACCAGTCATTCTGCACCATTGAAATCGGGTTGATTTTCTCTGCAATTTCATTTACATCGATCTTCTTAAAATTCATTCCTCTTGTCCTCCTGTTTTTTAGAAATCTACCTTATCCGGATCCAACCCTTTGCTGCCAAAGTCCGGCATCTGTTTGATTGTTTCCATATCCTCATCGGAAATCTCAAAATCAAACACATCGAGGTTTTCCTTGATACGCTCCGGCGTCACCGATTTTGGAAGAGGCACCACTTCCGTTTGCAGACAAAACCTGATGCAAAGCTGGGCGACTGATTTGTTATACTTCGCCGCAATCTCCTGCAGCGTCTCATTCGTCAGCATCGCGCCTGTTCCCAGCGGGCTCCACGCCTCCACCAGGATTCCGTTCTCTTTGCAGTACTGTACTGTTTCATCCTGCAGGAATCCCGGATGATACTCAATCTGGTTGGATCAGATAAAGATCCAGATAGCCAAGTCCCAGGTCGCTTAAGGTCTTTTCAAAGGCAGCCATCGTCTTATCGTAGCCGCGCTCCGTATTCCAGACCTTGCTGGTCACAAAAAGCATGTCCCGGCTGACGGTTCCATTTGCAATGGCCTTCGCGATACCGGCTCCGACGCCGACCTCATTTTCGTAGCATGCCGCAGTATCAACATGCCGATATCCATACTCGATCGCCTTTTTGACACTACAGAGTGCGACCTGTCCGTCCGGTGTCTGCCATGTGCCGAATCCTACAATAGGAATTGTTACGCCGTTTTTTAATGTTCTTGTCTCCATCTTTTAGTCCTCCATCACATCGTTTTCAATATCTTTGATCTTCCTTGCCGGCACACCGCCCACAATGCAGTTGTCCGGAACATCCTGCGTTACCACAGCTCCTGCCGCAACAATTACGTTGTTTCCGATGTTCACTCCGGGAAGAATCGTTACGTTTCCTCCAATCCAGACATCATTTCCGATTGTTACCGGCTTCGCGATACCCAGATGCTTTCTTCTGCCTGATGGTGAAATCGGATGGCCTACTGTCGATATCATCGTATTTGGCCCGATCATGACATAATCACCGATGGTGACCGGTGCAATATCGAGGATCGTCACGTTGTAGTTGGCCAGGAAATTTTTCCCGACCCTGATGTGCAGTCCATAGTCGCAGTTGAAGCCGGTCAAAACCGCCGGGTTCTCTCCGGCTTCCGCAAAGAGTTCGCGTATAACCGGCTCACGTGCCGCCTCATCATCCTGCGGTATGGCATTCAGTCTGCCGCATACCTCTATGGCCCGCAGTTTCCTGCCATTTACGCCTTCATCCCAAAAATCATATTCAAGACCAGCGTCAAGTTTTTCAAGCTCTGTCATTTTGCTTACCTCTCATTGCGCGTATTTCTTTTGTACTCCTATCATAACCGGACAATCTTTAAAAAACAGTCCTTTTTCTTAATGTTTTATGTGGCTTTTCTTCAGATATTCATCTATAATGAAACCATAAAAGCTCAGAAAAATTTGCAAGGAGGGAATGCTATCTATGAACAGAAAAAAATTGAATGCCGCTATAGCTGAACTGGCTGAAGATTTTGAAGCCATCGAATGGGACCGTCGCAAAGTAGGCAATTCCCTTGTACAGATGTGGCCGGGAAGGTCGGATGAAGAAATTATGATCTGCGTTTTCAGGGGAGCGGATATCCATGAGCCCTTTCATCGCCAGGATTTCTTTTTCCTGAATTACGCATATAAGGGTGATTACGGCGCCATCAGTGAAAAATACGACAACCATATCACCGTAAAGGAAAACTCCTGCTATATCGGAAGGCCGAATGCAGACTATGCGATCTACGGTCACAATAACGAAGAGGTCATAATCATTGGCGTGCTGATCCAAAAGGAAAGCTTCCTGAAGAACTACTTCTCTATCCTCGCCGCCGACTCGGAAATGTTCCGTTTCTTCCTGACGCAGGACATCGGAAGTTTTGAGGATGAATATCTCCAGCTGGATTTTGACAGGGATTCCATGATCCGGAATCTCCTTGAATGGATGGTCATAAAATACGCAGAGAAAAAAGAAGAGACGCATCAGATCCTGCGCCCCATGACGGTCTCTCTTCTGCTTGAGATTGCCGGACAGCGCCGGAAATCCAGGAAAGAAGTACTAAGCGACAGGATATCCGACCAATTCGTCCGCTACATCGAAGATCACTTCGATCATGTGACGCTTGCTGATATCGCCGCACATTTTTCGTATCATCCAAATTATGTATCTACCGTCCTGACGAAGGAGACCGGAAAATCCTTTTCTGCTCATGTACTGGAGCAGCGTATGGCAAGGGCACAGATTCTCCTGCAGAATACAACGCTGTCCGTAGCGGATATTGCAGAGATGCTCGGGTACTCGAACACAAGCAATTTCCATAAGGCATACAAAGAATACTATGGCACCACACCGAGGGAATCGTAAAATGTACATTACCCCGTTTACTTTCCGCCTTCATTTCGATTACCGCACATCCCCTGTTTTCCTAAAGCTAA